TGGAAAGCCAAGGGCAGAAGCTACCTAACACATTCAATGATCTGAAAAAACAGAAAGGATGAAACTAACAAAAAATAAATGCTGCCAAACCTACCAATAAGCAGTTGAAACAAGATGAACTTCATGCTATGACAAGAGATGATTTAAGTAGATAAACAGGGTATATGCTTGCTGACAAATGTGCACAACTATCAATAAATGCCTACTTATATAGCAAGCATGGAAATGCTATAAAGAAATTAATCATGCAAGACTACAAAAAACATGTGGGCCATACTGCCAACAGGGAGAGAATGGCCCACAGTCACTTAATACAATGAGGAAACATGGAACTTGACAATTCGGAACACTTTCACCCTCAAGACTTCATGTGCTGCCAAAATGAACCACAGACAATTCCGACTTGCACATAACTTAGCCCATCCACTAAAAATTAGCCTCATCAATCACGAGAAAACTTCAGAACACTTCCTCATAACTCGATTAATTCACTTGAAGAAAAACAGTCAAATATTACACTTTACTTATGAATGGTAAATTCAATGGGCAGATCACTAAAGGTCCATATTCGTCAGATCCATCTTATTCACATACCATGGCTATATCACTTTCTAGAATCAGCTTCGTGTGTTGCTAATGCCAACAGGCACAAACATTCAATTTCAAAACAGAACACAAACTTTAGAAAATCGCTATCAATATATCTATGTTCACCTCTAAAATATTCTTATATCACATATTATTATTTTATGAACTTGAAAAAACTGTACAGGAAATTGAAGAAAGTCGTCTTCTGGGTTTAGGCGCCGTGTATTCTTCGTTTTGGCCGACATTTCGGAGGAACGTATCGCCTCCATCTTCAGAGCAGTTGAATGGCCTGGAATGCAGAGAGCAGTAGCTGTAGTGATAGGAAGTGAAAGGCGCTGCTTATATACGAAGTAGGGGGAGGGGGGGTGGTTAGGGAGAGTGGAACAATAGGAGCAGTGGAGAGCGATTAAGGACATATATGATGTTATGTACTAAGGGAGGGGGGGAACGGCCAGTGAATCCAGGAAACTGGAGGTCAATAGCACTAGGAAGTTGCGGCAGACAAGAAGAACCGGTTGGTTGGGGACAGGCTACTGAGGTCAATGACATGATTACAGGGTACAGGCTACTGACGTCAATGACATGACGAAGAACTGGTGTGGCTTGTTGGATTTCTCTTGAGGGAAGAGATGAGAGGCTTCCATGACTTGTTGAGACTGAACCCTGTTTCTTTGTTCATGTTGTTCGGATGGAGCTCGATCTCTACGGCCTCCATGATTATGCGATCTAGGTAACGGCTCTTACTGGTGATTGTGGCGGTTTTGTGAAACTGGATACGGTGGTCTAGCTCGATGCTGTGTTCAGCTACGGCTGACTTGTCCGGATGTTCTAATCGTAAATGCCGTTGATGTTCTTTCAACCTGGTGTCCACAGAACGGCCCGTCTGCCCGATGTATTCACCAGGATCAGCAGAGTGCTGTCCCGACACAACATCAAATCAGTTGGCCTGCCCCCAAAGAAAATATATAATTTCCTCCGGCCTGTCAAGGATCACTTGGGACTGAGGACACCGGGAATTTACAGAATTCCATGTGAGTGCGGCAAGGTCTACATCGGGCAGACGGGCCGTTCTGT